TCCAAACGTAAAAAGAGCGAATGCGAGTTGTCCATTGTTTAATTTCCACGATGTAAAAGATATCTACATGCGTCCTTTTTTCTGGCGAACTGGCACATAAAAAATGTATACCGGCCTCTCTTCTCGCTTGAATAGTTCGCTTGCACGAGATGCTTGTGCTCGTGGAGCACTCCAGTGGGCTCTATTTTGAGAAAGCGGCGAGAAACGCACGATTATTTTAGTTACAATTTTTCTCTTCCGACTCGCAGAACGCAGACGGACGTCTACACGAACATCACGACGAAATGACTGAGTACGCTACTTTTTGTCTATCGAACACGAACGCCCGTTTTTGATTAATAAGCTAAATGCTCGAAAAAGTTAGAATTGGATTAAAACTCGGAATTATTTTTATATTGAATCCGCCGAAATGACACAATGGTTCTGCGACTGTGAAAATCCATGGCGGATAAGTGCCTCGCGAGAGTGGAAAAAATCGTGCGCGTGAGTCGAGAACATGCGTTTTCCCGATCGTAATACAATTTGTAAACAATATTTATATGAAATCTTTGTGTAAAGTTGCGATTTAGTTTATGGGTTTACGTTCCGACTTCTCAAGTGTCGCGGGGAATTTTGTAATAAGTGCGAAAAGACTGTGATGTTTCATGATCCGTTCTAGGTTGATTCCCTTTGCATAATTAAATCAATTAATAAAGTATCAATAAATTTTTCTTATATGCGTTTGTTATTACTTACAAAATAATAGCGTGAAAACTGCTACCGTTGCTTATCTATTTTTCATCCCTTGCGATTCGCACCTCGGAATTCTATTCTAATCAATTGTCTCGTCTCCATAATCTCATCTCGCCATGGACATGCGAAGAATGTCTAATTGGAATGTCCTGAGCGTGGAGGCTGCGCTGCAACAACTCAACGCCTTCGAAGGAGATGATCCCGAGAAGATAATAAGGCGTCCTAACACGGTAAGCAACTTTATTTTTGTAGTATCAATGATTTGTTTTGTTCAACTGGAAGAGAAAGAAATATCAATGAAATTGTTGCATCTGCAACTTCTCTAAAAGAAAAAAATAGTTGTAATTATCATAATTATAATTCAACTCTAATTTATAGTCATTTTAGTATTAACTATATGTATATGTATACTTAAAGTTATTGTTTTAACTGTTATAATTGCTTCAACTGCGTTACGATCATTACAACTGATATATATTCACGCAACTATATGTAAAAGTGATTGTTTCTTTATTTTTTCTTTTACACATTTTTAAATTATTATTAACTTGTAAATTATAAACGAATGTGAAGAAAATAATTATATTATTTACTATAATTGCGGCTGCATTCACTACATAAAAATGTTTTATTTTATTTACTATTCATCTTTTGATATTTTATTACACATATCTAATGTTTTAAATTATCATGATTTGTAATACATTATTTTTTTAATTATATTTTTATTATTATCAATTATATTTTTTATATTTTTTAATTAGCCTATTACTAATATTATAGCAGTAATAACTATAAAAATGGAATTTTAACTATAATTTATTTTATCCTGCAATTATATGTATAGTCACAAATGCCAAATATTTTTCTTTTATTATCCGAAATTTTTTTGAAAATAATTTACGTTGAAAATCACGATTTTTCATTTCATTGTACATATTCGAGAATAGATTGTAAGTATACGTGTCATGACTTAATAATTCTTTTTTTTTATATTCCGGGCGATCATTCACGAATGTCCGCATCACTCTCCGGCAAAGTGATTCGTCTGAATGAGAGAAATTTCGCGACGTTGATGTCGGCGTTTGTGTGCTCGCGTTTTTTTTCCCACGTAGCGAGTGTCACATCAATGCCGTCGAAGAATGTCAATAGATCTTTCCATTCTGGCCTGATGCCTACCTGCCTGTCTGCTTGCCTTTATTTATAACTAATTAACTCATAGTCGCGACTGCTGACTCTCCTAGGACGGTCAAACGCCCGATCCGTTCGACCAGTCCGGATCGATCTTCAGCTCTCCCGAGTCCTCATCGGTGCGCGTTTCACCGAGGAATGCAAACGCGAACGTACGCGAATGAAATTTTTTGCGTCATATTCGTGCAGTTTCCGTCTCGTAAAGTTATATTTAAACTCTAACAATGACTACTTGGACGCAATTAGCCGTGGAGCACGTCAACGCGATATCCAAGGAAGAATTTAGCACGACGCATCGAGGGAAATCTACGGTAATCCTGAATTTGAATCAATTGTGCAATTAAAAAAGCAATATAGTCAATATTAAATATTTTAAAATACTTTAAGAGACAGGCTATGAATCTTCTTTGTTTTCGACAAAAATATCACTTTTACACGAAATATTTTATCATAATTTTTGAACGAATTAATAACACTTTAAAAAATTAGAAATTTTTTTATTGCTGAAATATATATTTTTTGCTAAAAGTAAAAAAAAATTACTGTTATTTTGTGAAAGTAAAGACCATAGAATGAGGTCATTAATGTTTCTATATTTTGATTACGACGTTAATTACGATATATACTTTGATACAACTTTAAAATCTATATCCTATTAATTATATTATTTTTACTCTTCTCTTCTGCGGGACTAGTTTGAGATTCCATTACACATTTATTTCACGAGGATAAGCAAACTGATTTTTATCTTATAAAATAGATCGTTAATCGTTTCAGACTGACAGATAATTAAGATACATAATCTCTTATGATCGTACATGTGAAGAAAAATTTCTATTTCATAATTTGATAAATAAATACTTGACGATTATCTATATGTGCAAAAGCAAGTAATTTCAGCTTCCCTGATGATACACTTGATCATTACCGGGACAATCGATGTAAACCCTATTATAATAGTTCGATACGTTGATTGAAGATAGCTTAACTCTCTAGATGTGTAATTAGTTCCTCAAATCACTAACGCTGGTCAACACGATACTTGTGCACTTTAATTTATATGCGATAGACGCGTAACCTGTTGCTAGTTCATTAAGGTGCGCATCACATTGAAATCGTGCCAATCATTACGCCAAAAGCACATGAAAGATATTAGGAAGGTTGTTTCGCGAGTAATTTAGCACTGAATTTATACAATATCACATATATATATATTTGTGTAAAATTTATTAACATGTTGAATTTCTTGCCAAGCTGACTTTGTCATTGAGCTTAATATCATCTAATATATTATTTTAATATTTTATTTCTTTTTTAATGCCGAAATATAATTTGTATTATTTCTTTAATATCAATATTTAGTAATACTTATTGTTAGTAAAATAATTTTTAATCGGGTAAGTAAAATCATCTATTCACAAATAAATAAGGAGACCTTTGCGAATTTTATGCGTTATTCAAATACGGTAACAGGAAATCTTTTCTTAGAAAATGTATATTTGTTTGGCGCCTTCGCAAAAATTAATAATAATTAAGTAAAGCTAATAATACATTTTATTATATATACAGGGTGTCCCATTTTATATTTGACAGTCAAATATTTGGAAATCGCGAGTTTGAGAGAAAAATGTTTCAAACAAAAGCTTTGGGACTTCGAGAGAACATAAGATGATAACATTGGTTTGACCCTGAGCGTCGTCAAGGTCAGGACAAAGTCTTTGAATTTGAATTTTTTAATAAATGGAACTCCCTATTTTTTATTGCATATTCTTATAGCTTATTTCGAGAGCTTTCCAAAACATATAGATAAAATGTATTTTGGTTAAGTAAATCTTGAGTTATGAAGCTTGAAAGTTACAGTACCGTCGACATATATTAGCATTATCCAAGGTGTCCGAACAATGATTGAAACCTTTTGAATGTTGTTCAGGATCATGATCTTGATAACATGTGTCAAAGCCATGAACATTGGAGATTGTTTCTCTTATTTTCATTTTTGAAAATTATTTTTATTTTTTGAAAATAAGGAAAACAATCTCCAATGATCATGGCCTTGACACATATTGTCAAGATCATGATCCTGAATAACATTCAAAAGGTTTCAACTATTGTTCGGACATCTTGGATAATGCTAATGTCGACGGTACTGTAACTTTCAAGCTTCATAACCCAAGATTTACTTAACCAAAATACGTTTTATCTATGCGTTTTGAAAAGCTCTCAAAATAAGCTACAAGAATATGCAATGAAAAATAGGGGGTTCTATTTAAAAAATTCAAAGTGACCTTGTACTAAACTTGACGACGCCATTCAGGGTCAAATCAATATATGTTATCATCTTATGTTCCCCTTGAAGTCCCAAAACTTTTGTCTGAAACATTTTTCTCTCAAACCTCGCGATTTCCAAATATTTGACTGTCAAATATAAAATGGGACACCCTGT